TTTGATCTAAGCAATATTAACTCCTTCTCTTGCCACATCGACCCATGTATTTCCCTGTATTTAATCATCCTGTACTTATTTAATCATCCTGTACTTACTTGCTAATTGATTAACTTATGGGGTAGTTTTGCCTTGGCTATATCGATCACATAAAGCTGTGCATGTATTTCGTGGATTTAATGAACCATAATTGTAAGAAATTCGACCACAAATCTTGAACATTTGCGGAACCAAACCCATAACCAAGTCTAGCCTTGGTAACAAATTATGCAAATGCTATAAGATGTGATGGCCGAATGTTTTGTATGTAGTGAGGTTTGATGCGTTGTTCGACCTAGCTAGATGTGTACATCAAAGTAAAAACCCTGTACACATTTTTTTAAATACCTGAATTGACATTAATTCACCTAATTCACCAAAACCATAGATGAAACATACTCCGTAATTAGTCTATTCCAAAACTTGAACACAGCTCTCATCCTCAACGTTCTTATCTATGACACAATTTTTGAACCCGATTATCGTAAACAAATACCAATAAATGAATTTCTGGGGTTCTTTTTTAACTCAATCTGGTTCATTAAAAGTAGAGTAAAATTATCCATATGGTCGTAATGTAAATAAAACTGCTGAGTGAACTTTAAAGCCCTCTGGGGCAGATCCCCAAGGAAATTTACCTCGTTTCTCTTTTGAGGGCTCACCTACAGACCAATACCTTTCTTAAGACACCACTACCAAGTTTCTACACCCAGCCATTCTCTCGAATTAGCTGTGACAAAAACCCAGTTTTTCCTCCACAAGAATAACATGGGATGGGAATTTAAAGGCCACTGGGGCAGAGCCCCGAGGGAATTCCCCACGTTTTTCTTTTGATGGCTCATCTACAGATCAAGACCTTTATTTAGACACTTCTACCGAGTTTCTATGCCCAGCCGTTCTCTCAATTTAGCTGTCACAAAGAAAAACAGTTTCAAATTGATATATAGATTCTCTGCTACTAGGGCCAAGTAATTAGCATACAATTATGCTAACTGATTGATTTAGCCATACTAAAAAAAAGTTATTAAAAGTTATACAATTTTGCAAATAAAACTCAATAAACTTCCAATATCCTTTAGAAATCAGGAAGACATTCAATCGTATAGGTCAAAATCATCAGATTGGCTTATAAGTCGTGGTTTTTATTCAGTTGAGGAGTTTTTGGAAAATGCAGATTATTCCACGCATAAATGTGAGGCCAAGCAGTTTTGATGATTCTTTGTTATCGTTATAGTTTTTTATGTCCTGTTAACTTTCAATTTTTTATTATTACTAATGTTTTATACTTTTAAAATTCATTTGACTTTATTTTATTTTACATTTTCCGTATTTAATATTGTATATAACAAATGTAACAAAACATGTAACAAATGTGGCCTTGTCTATTATAATTTATGTATTACTAAATGACAATACAGATTTATTATTATTATTAATTTTCTGATCACGCAATCTGTCGTATGATGTGATAAACATGTTGTTTGTTATTGTTTTATATCATTCAGAGTTGACAATTAAGTCTTGTTCTTTCTTTCTATTAACGTTTTTTATCACTCTTTCCTTAATATTACACAATTTTGCAGAAAAGTCTGGAATCGGTATCGGAATAACGGTAATTATTCTATCGCTAGATTTTTGCAGAAGAGTCGGGAATTGGTATCTGGATAACAGCAATTTTTTTATGACGAGATCTTCATAGACGAGTCGGGAATCTGTATTGGAAAATTACTACTCTTCCGATACCGATTCCCAACTCGTCTGCGAGGATCCCGCGATCGAAAAATTACCGTTATGACTTTGAGCGGTTGATTCTCGATTCTGATTCCAAAGCCAAGAATCGGTGGAATCCTGAATTGACCCATCCCTATTTAAGACGTAATCGATGTATCGGGTATTCCGATGCATTAGGACCAATTCGATGCATCGAGATTAAACCTGTGACGCAAAATTCTAGGGGGGGAATAAACTAGTATTCACCAAAGTCAGGCTAAGCCTACCCTAGAACCGGCAACACTCAAATTTCTTCCCCGGAGTGCTCAGAAGGAGCCGAGAAAAATCCAGGGGTCGATACGAAGTTGTCACGGCTTTGACTGATCAATTTATTTAAATTTAATCGAAGGCTCAGAGCTCTAGAAGCGCTCAGGAAATCCTGCAGTTGGAGCTATATCATCCCAGCCTTCATAAAAGTGTTTTGGAGAATTTTGCCTAACTTTTAGAATGACTCTGTAGGGCCAACCAGTATTCAATCTTAGCCAATGTGATGTAAATACTCGTATTGAACTTTAAAATAATTAACTAAAGGCCTAGGTAAATAATATAGAATGTAATATGACGTAAACCCAATCCCTACAGAGTCATCGGGGCCTAATTAATATAACTGGACGGATAATTTAACGTGATATGATTTAAAATAAATTTAGAATTAATTTACGTAGCCGATTATTCAACTCAGCCTACTCCCAGACTTGATTCTTTCACCCGCCACAGACGGGGTTTAGAACTTAAACGACAAGTCTCGGGGTGAAATTAACTGGAGTAACTTAAGTAATATTTAATCGTGAAACGAACGGAATTTACGTAATTTAATAGCCAATTGATTTAAAAGAGCCGAAAAATATCCACCGCTAGTCACTGGCAGGCAGGAACTGGCGGGTTTTGTACAAGTCGGCGGAAACTAAGTTATTGAGATTTAGAAAATTAAATCGAACTTAAACGGGTAAAAATAAGTGGCAGACGAGTATGCGTATGTTAAAAGAGTGTTTAAATTAAAGTAGGAAAGTCTGGAAACGTAGCTAACCTGAATCAATATCGTATGGCGAAGTTAGTTTCGTTGCGCGAAGAGGCTTCTCGTGAACGAGTCGACGGTCGAACAGCAAATAATTCTTGTCCGGCTCAAATCCCGATTTCCTCGGCCGCGGCTCAAGCGCTGCGGTGGCGATTTTGGAAACTAGCCAACAGCTGATCGGGGATTCGGTCTAGTTATCGTCTGTCATCGTCAATCAACAAACACCAGTTTTAGGTTATGTCGTCGGTGATAAATACTTGTAAAATCGGTCGGTTTAACTTTGTTTGGTGAAACGGAGTGCTATTATGAATAAATATGCAATTGTGGGTGTGTTTGTGTACTTCAATGTTATTAAAAGTAGGCCTACGTTCTTTGGCCAATAGCCCAAGCATAGGCCTAGGAGTAGGATGTTGTGGATAAAAATCGGGTAAGTTATGGTGTTAGTTGACTAGCAATACGTTTTTACCCCCCTTAAAATTTGGTACCTCACAAACCCATGCTTTGCCAAAAATTGTAGTTAATAGCCTAACAAAACAATTACAAATGAAGACCACACCAAATTCTTAGGATTAAAAATTGATGAAATGGGACCATCATATTGATCAGTTACTTTCCAAAATTTTCATCTGGCCTATGTGCACTAACAAGATTAAAACCCCTATGTGAAAAGGAAACTTTAAAAATTATATATATTTCATACATACATTCAAACATAACGATTGGATTATCACTTTATGGTGCAACAAAAAAGAAAAAATTAAAATCAATTCTAAAAATGCAAAAGATAATTTAGAATATTATGCAATTTAAAAGACAGAACTTGAGTCAAAGAATAGCCTATTTTAAAACTGAGAATATTATGACTGTTTATGGAATGTATGTCTGTGAAACAACATTATCAGTAAAAGGTGGATTTAATGAATTACAACTCCTTAGAGACAATCATAATTACTTTACTATAGAAATCGAGAAGACCTGGCCACAAGCTCACATACTCTGCAACTTTTCACAAAGACACCTAAATTTGCCGGTTTAAACTTACTAAAGAAATAAAATTTGAAACTTAAAAAAATAAATTTAAATAAAGATTAAAAAAAAAAAATTATGAACAAAAGGCTATGTACTCATTCGAAGAGTTTTAGTTCTCTGTTGCTTTATTTTATAAAAAATTGAAACTTTTAATTTTAAAATAATTTAATTTATTATTTTGATTTTTGATTTTTATGTACAATTTTTATATTGCACTGAATTTTTTACTTTATTTGAGCTGATAAGCTATTAATATTGATGGAATGTTAATGATAAGTATTTTAGTTAGTTTTATTCAATCAATCTTGACGCCATTCCTGTATAGATGCTGTACTGATATGAATAATGTTATATGAATTGAATTGCATCGGGATTTTGATGCATGCTGAATCATGCATTTTCAATACATTGCTCACTGTTATACATAATAAGTAGCCTAAATTGGACCAACAAAAATATTTCTTAACCTTGACATTGCCTTTTGCTTTTTAAAAAAAGCGATACCTTCGCAGACTGACGGGTTTCAGTTCGCACTAAGAATAGTCAATTAAGAGTGATCATCTAAGTGGTATGCATCACTAAATAAATATAAAGTACAGTAATTTGCAGGTGCCTGAAACCTGGTGCGCATCTCTACCTAATAAACACTGTCAAGGGCTTAGAAAGGGATTGCTCGATGCACCTTCTATGGTATACAGTCATGCCACATGAAAATAACACACAATCTCACGACTCATTTTACTCATCATCCACTGGGAGGATCAGATAACCTGTACCTAGTTGTAGTTCAAACTAGCAAGACACAGTATTCACCCACTGTATTTTTTGTTCCGATGGATTATGTACGTGGGATTTATTCTGTTTAGGCCAAAGTCCAGAATGAATTTTAATGGCAAATGTGTTTAGATACTGTTAACAATTCAATCAAGCAACTAGCATATGCTTTGGTTTGCTGCAGCGGGTGTATTTTTATCACATGGTAAACAACTAATTCACTTACATTTTACATTTGGGGTTTTATATCTAGACCACTTATTCGATAAGCATTGGTTTTCCTTACAAATTCAGATTTTAAGATAAAAAACATAGAAAGTTCCGTGCTAATTTTCAGAAAAGGAGTGCACATAGTGATTTCTTTGTTGTTTAGGTATGCAGCTTTAGAAAATGGGACTGTGAGTAAAGCTGAAGAATCATTGAGGAGTCAGTTCAAACTAGCACCGAATGTTGTGCCGAAGAAAAGGAAAGAAGGAGCAGATTCCAGCCATCACACATCAAATGGGACCAAGACTCCAATGATGAACGACCAAAAATGTCATGATGACTATAATCTCATTTTTAATTCTGATTTTATTGAAAAACCTCAAAGTGACTATTATGGTATGGCTATTACTTTTTAATGACTTTTTAAAGTAGCAAAACTTGTAAAAAAAAGTAACAAAAAGAATTGCTAAACTTGTTGTCAAGTTGAGAATGCAACATGAATATTAAATGCAATGTAGCTAATCGAAACAGTGTGGCCACAAATGTGTCTAACATTTGGTCACGATTGTTTTTTGTTTTTTTTTTTCTACTGCTCAGCGCGATTGCTAATACACCATTGTAACGAGGATACAATAAACCTAGTGTGATGGGTTGCTGATGATGGGCCAAAAGATTAAAAGATGTACGCCACAAAAAATATCATTCAAGACTCACGTCCAAATAAATAAAAAATTTACCATAAAATCCGTGCTACGAATCTTACATCACAAAGCATAAAGATTGATTGATGTGTTAATTTATGTGTTGTAAGTTAGACATATCGGGACCCAAGAAATATTTTATACACACACACATATATATATATATAAAGAAAGATTTATTTTGCGATGTTTTCATGCTTTAAGGCTATCATTTTACTACTGAATATTTTTGTGGTGTGCTGGTGCACCGAGAGGGGACAAATCATTAGACTAATCTAGTTTTTTTACCATATTTAATTTATCTGTAAAACGTGAAACATAGTGCTTAACAAACTTTAGATTGTAGTATTTGGTATGCATCACCTTATTCATAATAAACATTGTTAGTCTTTTTGGCATACCAGCAATAAGGTTTGAACAGCTATTTTGAATTCCTTCATTGTGATGCCAAACTTAAATAAGAGTTTCTATATTTTAATGAACAGGGTAGGCCTCTGTAAAGACCCCCAACAGTAGGTTACAGTAACTCAAGTGACATACTGCTTAGTTTATTGTGACTTAAAAATGTTGCTTACCTTTTTTCAATCATCCTCAGTCCAATGTGTAAAGCCTCTTGCCTACTCCAGACACTTTTTATCCATACTAGGGGTTATTGTTTCCTTTTATTTGGCCTGCCGTCCTTCACTAATCAGTGTTCTCCTCTGGAGGAAACTGACCCCACATCCTTCAAATCCTAAGCTAGCTGTTTTTAGTCTTCTTTCTATCAGTAAGAACAATTTCCGTGAGAGTTCTTATTCTGTCATCAATTTTCTTCTTTCTTCCACATTTTCCAAGTCAATTTGGTCCAAAATCACCATTGATTTCTGATTAATTGTTGTTTGTTCTAGCAGCCTTGCTGTTGCAGTTGCAATACTACCAACCTCACAAATGAACAGCTCTTATCGTACCTGAGGCCTAAGAATTACTTATGCTGTCATTTGTTTATCCATTCAATGTTCTGTGAAAATTGTTTGATGAGCTAAATTATTTTTTTTTTAATTATAATATGTATATTATCGTTTTTTACAGACAATAAATTACATAAATGGCTATTTCAGGTGAAAACAAATTTATGAAATGTGAAGTTTTTAAAGAAAAAGTTTTTGGCTCAATCTTGGACATACTTGTCATCGACATTCGACCAAAAGCAGATTACGAAATGTCAAAAATCAGCTCAGTCCACAGTATCAATATCCCAGGATCTTCAATCAAAGCGGGGTAACTATTATAAAATTTATAACGATGATTGTTGATGTTTTGTAAGTACAACCTAAACAAAATCCTGTCATAGAATATGAAGATGTTAAAATACAGTTTTTACAGTGGTTATTGATACAAATGCGCAATTAGAAACATAGCATATTTGTGGAATACAAAATTTTTATTTTTATTAGAGGTGTGCGAGCCTGAGATTTTCAATCGAAGCCTAGCCCAAGCCGAGCTTTAACCGAGCTGAGCTGTTTTTTATTATGAATAAACGTAATTACAAAAATAATACGCTTATCAGGCCTAGTTAAACCCTTTTTTTAAATGCAATTTAATGTTAAGATGTAGAGTAAAATATAATTTGTTAAGTAAATTTCACCTCATTTTATTTGCTTTAAAAGAAAATTTTTTCAATAAAATGGCATTTGAGTAAAAAACTAGTATTGAGTGGAGTCAAGTAGTTGCGCGTAAAGTAGGCCTAGGCCTAAATAAGCTATTTTTTAATAGCTTCTTACATAGTTTTCTTACATTCTTACATTTTTTCTTACATTTAGTTTCTTACATTAGTATACACCAAATGTTTTAAGTTAACTTATTTTGTTACTAATTAATAGTATTAGGCATAATAAAAAATTTGGCCTGGCCTACTTGTTGGCTGCACCTTTAAATTTACTCATCACTTATTATTGTGTGTTATACTAACCCATTCTTCCTCCACACTAACATGATAATCAACCTAGGTAACTAATAACTTTAGGAATAACTTCCATTCAATAAAGAAACAAAATTTTTAAATTGTAGTTCATTTCTAAAACAGATAACTTAATATAACTAACAACATGTCTCTTAATTTAATTAAAAACATCAATTTTCCATATGGTATTGTAAAATAATCACTTGAAATGAAGTGCTGCCTAAGTTTGAAGGTTAGGGCATAGGGGTACTAGGGCTAACCTCTTCACTCATTACATTTATACCTCATTCATTACATTAACATCAAGCCAAAAACCGAGTTGTTTCACAGGTTGTTGTTGTAGATTCTGATGTTTTGTCATTATTTATTTTTAGGGGTGTGCGATGCATCGAAAATGCATCGAAATTTCGATTCGATTCGATTCGATGCATCGAATCGCGATTCGATTCAGTGGTGGTCAAAAAACGATTCGATTCACGAGGGAGTCAGTATCCATATACGAAAAACGCCTGCAGAAAGTCAATGCAATACCCACAATACAGGAGCGCGTTGCTGTTGCGTTTCCTTTACGAAGGCGTTCTTATTTAATACATTCTTTGCATTAAATATAGCTTTAATTGTTTTATATTTTTTTGTTTTGACATTGCAAATGATTAGAGGTTTTGTTTTTTGTCTTGATGTAAGCAGTGTGTGAAATATTTTACTACTGTGAACCTAGCCAAAACAAGGTAGGTTACTCCAAAATCATTTTAAAAATAAGTCTGAAAAATTGTTACTTAATACTTAACTAGTAAGATCAATGTTATAGACTGATACATTTGGTATTTTTGTTAGGTGTCTGTCGGTCCCCGTCCCCGAATTTTTGTTGGGGCAAAAGAAAAAAAAGAATAATTTATTTCCAAAGAAACACTCTTATATTATTATATCTATTACAGAGGAATTAAAATGTTCAAATGAGAATTAAAAATTAAGTTGGCTCACGACCTTTAAGAATAAAGACACAACAGAGCAATTGCCGCACTGCCACTAGCCAGAGCCAGGTCTAGTCGTCTACTGATAAGAGTAACAAGACAAAAGCCGTGACGCAACACTAACAGTGCAAAGAAAACAGAGTCAAAAGAATAGAAAGACTATTTATCCAGACATATTAGTATAATCATTTATTGTTCATTCAATACCTAATTAAAAATATATTTAGTATTTTACATAATAAATTATAAACAAAAGAAATATCTGATATAGTGAACAGATCTGTATCTTGGTTAAATAGTGTTAAAAAAATATATTTCTAAGATCCAATACAATATTTACAACTCACAAATTACATTGAATTAATTTCTTTGAAAATAATCTCTAACAGTTTTGTGTTTTTGAATAAAGAAATATATTTCTTTGTCTCTACTTCCTTGTTTCATCACTTGCATTTTGTCAGCAATTGAAGCAACTGGGTAGCAACCGGGTGGTGTAAGAGGGGAGGGGGAGGGTCTATGACCTTGAATTCACACATCGTTGCCCGGGCCTGGCTGGTGAGACTGATTCATTGTTTTTGTTGACATACTACTACCCTTCCTTAAGAGAAAAAGGCCCTGCTGTTCCAAAAACATTGAGGGTAGTTTAAAAACATTGACCTGTGTTGCCAAGGGCACTAGAAGATAGCATTTAACTTTCTTGTCTCTTGATTTAATATTATTTTAATCTTCTATATATTATTTAAGAGTTACTTTTCGGGTACCTAATTAGTTGTGATATTGTTTAGCTTCATTTTATGGATTTTTAATTCTTTTCATTCATTAGCTATCAAAATCAGTTGTTTTAGGATTTTAATCTCTTGCAGTACCGGTAGGTCTATACTACTGTATGACATTATATGCATTTTTTAGTCCTTATTAATTATACCATAAACAATGTTTGTATGTTATTTACTGTTTTTGAGTTTTATAGGAAATTAGTTTACACAATATCTTTTCTTCAATGAGTTCTCTACTTGACATGTTGCTTCTAGCCTATTACTATTTTAGGCCCTATAAAAATAATGCCTATGTAAAGCTGTAGGCCTACTGATGCCAATAATAATTCTTTATTTATGATGATGTAACAAATAATGTAAGTGTGAGGTTATTATACTAAGGAGTATTCACACATTCACTCCTGGTGTACAGGAGGCAGGGAATGAATGATACATGTTGCATGGTGGAAACATATTATTTTTATTTTCTTCTTGCTTGCAGTCCTGAAGCCGGTCCACAGGCCCTAAACTTGTGATATGTAAATTTATTTCTTAATGGTCTTTTTATATTAAGTTCCATTCAAATTTGTTGTAATTTAGCTACCGGTACCTATTTAGTTATTTAAACAGTTATTAAAATGAGAATGAGTGTCTTGATAAAAAAAATATTTTCTTCTTTCTTGCAGTTGAGCCAATTCCAAGTAAAAATTATGAAATAGGCAAGTAAAGCAGCTCACTGGTATTTCCAGCAGTTTTTCTAATACATATGATTGAAAATAAATATTTTTTCACCTAAAATTCATATGTAAGTATGAATAGGCCTAATACCACATCAACAAAAATTTGTATTACACAAATGTGATAAATTTTAATTATTGTTAATCCACTCAATTGACAATTATGAATAGAAAAATACCGTATTGCTTCGAATCGAGTTGCATCGAATCGAATCGAAAATCTGTTGAATCGAATCGTTGCTTCGAATCGAAAATTTTTTGCTGCTTCGCACACCCCTATTTATTTTTAGCTTATTTTTTGAGAACCAGGCTTTAGTTTTGTCAAGGATTTTACTCGTGATGAGGGTAGTGTCATCGGCAAAGAACAAAGTTCTTCTATCAGTCCCCAGGTTATTTATAAAAATGAGGAAGGGCACAGGTCCTAGAACAGAACCCTGTTGAACCCCTAGGCTGACATTCAGGTCACTGGAGAGAGCTCCCCTTATAGATACTACTTGCTTTCTGTCCCTTAGGTAGTTTTGAAAGGTCTCTAGCGCAACGTTTTTTATTCCATACCTTTCCATTAATTTAGCAAGACGTTGTGTACTATACAGTCGAATGCTTTGCTGAGGTCGGATAGGGTTAAGTTAAGTTTGTTATGAATTTGTCGTCAAAGGCGTAATTTATCTTTGTTATTAGATTTAACAAAGTGGTGGTCGTAGATCTACCCTTTTAAAACCCATGTTGATCATCGGTGAAAAGATTTGAACGCTCATAGAGTTTATAAGAATAAAGTCACTCGTTTCAGACAGACTATAATATCAATCAAAAACGTAGTAGGCCTATTATCTTGATATGAAATCGCACATTAAACTCTTAAAATTAAAACCCATTTTACTTTATACGGGTAGAGCCTATTATTTGGCTTTTACTAAACTAACCACTTTCTAGGTATGTTACATACAATCAACTATTGTTGTCATGTTGTGGCCACCAGATTGAAAACTGCACAATCATAATCAAACAGAATAGGCTATTTTTATTTTACTGTCAATTAGTCTTCCTCCCACTAAACAAAATCAATTTTGTTATAAGTTACAAATTCTCTTCAAAGTAAAAAAAAATAAAACTGACGTTGACATATCACTCAATGTTGTTGTTGTTACGCCATCTCTCTCTCTCCCTCTCTCTAGTCGTTCTGTTCATTCATTCTGCTTCTGCTTTGTTTTCCCATCAAAAAGCTGTTTTTGTAGGGCTGACATTGCCATCATTACACTATTATGGTGAGTGTCGGCAAAATTACCATAAAATTGCTATAGCTTTTAACACGTTTGCGGCAGCACGTCAAATGGCGGGCGTATCCCCAGTGCGGCGCAGCCCTCAGCGTCGAACAAACCCGATTGCCGCGTGTGATTGGCTTTCCAATTTCGGTCTGACGTATAGCAAATAACGTGCGAGGATGTCCTGCTTTACAACTAGAGTCGACGTAGTTCGCTAAACACCCACAGATAGCAGCACTACTTGGAACGTAGCCGGTCCGATTGGAATTGTATTGCCAAATGGAGGGAAAAAGACAGGACAAAAAGTTCATTTTTGAGATTGCCAGACGGGGATTTTACGGGGAAATTTACTACCAACCTACAACAACAAAAAATACAGTATACTATTGAGTAGTGCTGTGCGAGGTTTCAAGTTTCTAGCTCTAGTCCTAGCTTAAAGAAAAATCATTTCGTACTGCATTGCAGCTTGGGAGCGATCGCACCCACCTGGATGGCATTAGGGTTCCGTATGGGAGCGACCGCTCCCATGCCGCCGCGAACGTTTTAATTAGGTAAAAAAGGTATTAGTTTGACTAATTTAAATAATGTTTATCTAAACTCATTAGAAAAAGTGAAGTTAATTTGGGAAAGTAAATACTTTGTTTACACCACTACCATAGTAATTGTAAACGTACAAAAATTTATTGTCCATCTGACAACACTGCACTGAAGTGGAACTGATCATTCTATCAAGACAAGAGGATAAGACCCAATGAGATTGCGTCATTTCGATGCATCGATGTTCCTTGCAGTAACTTATCCGCTTTTAAAACTTAACACCAATAACCGATTAAAGTGAAAAAATACCATGCAATAATAATAGTTTATTTTCATTTGTTGTATTAATATATTTTGGTGTAAAATATTTTGATAGCAATTCAAACCATTAAATCTAATACTGTGATAATATCTTCAATAATCATCTGCCTATGATTTACTAATGACGAGACTACCTTGTTGACTATAGGCTACTGAAACTCGATAGAGATTCTTTCAATGCTTTTTTGGTTTAACTTACCGTATTGTTATCAAGACGTATTGTTATCAAGACGTACTGTTGACTGTTGTTGTTGTAGGAAAGTAGTTGTAGCCTAGTCCTCTTTGCTAGCTCTGCCGAATTACGATATGGATGGTTGTTTGTTGAACATTTAAGTTAGTTTACACAGGACTAGCCTATATATTATATATTAAGTTGGATAGTTTTTTTTAGGAATGGGGATTGAATAAGATATCAAAACAAAAACAAATGTCATTTATTAAATACGGGCGTAAAAAATCTTGTCTTCTGCAGTCGAGGCAAAAGCCTGAATTTTTCAACCGTGCAAACTTTGCAGACGTGTATTACAATCGCAATAGTAAAAGCTCAGCTCGAGCTTGATTTTCCGACTTTAAGCCAGGCAAAAATCGAGCCGCTCGTACACCTCTAATTTTAATTATACAGTAGGGGGGCCTACATTAAGTCTAAATAAGTCTAAAACTTATTTATATGGATCTTAATGAAACCCAATCTTTCCAGACAATTACTCTTGAAGGAAAATTTCAACTTTGGTTCAAGAATTTCATTGATAGTTTTGGATGGTAAAAGTAACCAATAAAAGTGTTAGTGATTATAACTATGCAAAACTTCTTCTAGGTATTACTAATTGGCCCAATTTCCTATGAATTTGTTCACTTTTGCAATTTCAACAATAAATACTAAATGCAACTAGAACAATAAATTATAAATGAAATTTCAATAATGTATATGTCCAATTCAAGTGGTGTGTATAGCCTTATATATTAATGTGGAATGTTTGTGAATGTGTTTAGTATGAGTGCAAACAAGCTAGGTGAAATTATCACTGAGGAAGAAAAGCGATTCTGGGGTCAACGAGATCAATACAAACAGCTGGTGTTGCTGGACTGGCACTCTGAGCCAAAGGATGTCATACCTGGCAGTGCACTGCATACCCTACATGTCATCCTCACCAAGGTATTTAATTAATTGAGCCAATTATTTTATTAATGGTATAAATTGGTTTAGTGATGTTGACATAAAGATTTTTATTAACATAAGGTGAAAATATGAATTTACACACAATGGTGGTCTGCCAACTAAAACGTCCATATTTGTACAGCAGTTTTAGTGCACAGGGTCTTCCTACCACGCGAGCGCTGTAGTACGTGATGGCGAGGGGAGCAGTAGGGGACGATGAATGGAATTTGTTATAGACACCAGCGACTGGTGCTGGACACCACTTCATTGAATTTATCCTCTGTATCTTACTTCTCTGTTTTAGACTCTACAGTTGCACTTCAGAACTAGTCCAGAATATGCCTATGCCTGTTGGACTCACTCCGTTTCTTTCTATTAATTTTTTACCTGATCTAGACCTCGATCTGGTCCAGGTTATCTTTTTAGTTTAAAGGATTCCGGACTATTTATTTTTATTTATTTATTTGACATAATCATAATACATCAATTTTTTTAGGGATGGACGGGATTGAATTTTTAGTTCGGGACGGGACGGGACGGGATTTTTATTTCCTTCCCGATTTTCGGGACGGGATTTTTTTCTGTGCATAAAAAGAATGTCCTGTATTGTAGTTACCAAAAAGACATACGAAATCAATTTTTACCATTTGTGGCACTGATCTATAAAAACCAAAAAATGGGTAACAATAGAAACTTGTGACTTGCGGGTCATGGGGTGATCGTCTGTATGACTCACGGTCACGGCGCGATCGTCGTCATGACTCGCGGTCACGGCGCGATCGTCGGTATGACTCGTGGTCACGGCGCGATCGTCGGTATGACTTGCGGTCACGACGCGATCGTCGGTATGACTCCGCGGTCACGGGGTTATCGTTGGTATGACTCGCGGTCACGACGCGATCGTCGGTATGACTCCGCGGTCACGGGGTTATCGTTGGTATGACTCGCGGTCACGGCATGATCGTCGGTATGACTCGCGGTCACAACGCGATCGTCGGTATGACTCGCGGTCACGACGCGATCGTCGGTATGACTCGCAGTCACGACGCGATCGTCGGTATGACTCCGCGGTCACGGGGTTATCGTTGGTATGACTCGCGGTCACGGCATGATTGATCGTCGGTATGACTCGCGGTCACGGCATGATTGATCGTCGGTATGACTCGCGGTCACGGCATGATTGATCGTCGGTATGACTCCGTGGTCACGGCGCGATCGTCGTCATGACTCGCGGTCACGACGCGATCGTCGGTATGACTCCGCGGTCACGTGGTTATCGTCGGTATGACTCGCGGTCACGGTGCGATCGTCGGTATGACTCCGCGGTCACGGGGTTATCGTTGGTATGACTCGCGGTCACCGCATGATTGATCGTCGGTATGACTCCGTGGTCACGGCATGATTGATCGTCGGTATGACTCCGTGGTCACGGCGCGATCGTCGTCATGACTCGCGGTCACGACGCGATCGTCGGTATGACTCCGCGGTCATGTGGTTATCGTCGGTATGACTCGCGGTCACGGTGCGATCGTCGGTATGACTCCGCGGTCACGGGGTTATCGTTGGTATGACTCGCGGTCACCGCATGATTGATCGTCGGTATGACTCCGTGGTCACGGCGCGATCGTCGTCATGACTCGCGGTCACGGCGCGATCGTCGGTATGACTCGCGGTAACGGCGCGATCGTCGGTATGACTCGCGGTAACGGCGCGATCGTCAGTATGACTCGCGGTAACGGTGCGATCGTCGGTATGACTCGCGGTAACGGCGCGATCGTCGGTATGACTTTGGTCACGGGGTTATCGTCGGTATGACTCGCGGTCACGGCATTATCGTCGGTATGACTCGTGGTCACAGCGCAATCGTCGGTAGGACTTCGCAGTCGTCGTTATGACTCCGCGGTCACGGCGTGACTGTCGGTATGACTCCGCGGTCACAGCCCGATGGACGTTATGAATCGCGATCTCTGTGCGATCTTCGGTCCAATAATCGTCGTTATGACTCCGCGGTCACGGCGTAATCGTCGAAATGACTTCGTCTCCTGCGTTCGCGGACCTATCGCTCGCAATAACGGCGTTATCGGCACTCGCGAAGCGAAAAAATCGCCGACGATCGGACCAAATCCTGTCCCGAAAAATTCCCGAGTCAAATGTAATCCCGTCCCGATAATCGGGAATATTTTTTTCCTGAAAAATTCCCGAAATTTCGGGACCCGTCCATCCCTAAATTTTTTTGAATCTTGATAGGTGATTTGTCATAAAGTCTAATACTAAATTGATAAATATACATAATAAAATACAAAAGAAATATAGCAATCAATACAAACTTATGGGAGAAGTGATATCTTTTAAACATACACATCTTCCAGATAATCTTCTAGTGAGTAAAATGCCCTCTCCAAAAGAAAATAATTTAATTTAAAGATAATGAATTTAGAGAATGAGGAAATATTTTTAATCTCAGCGCGTAATTTTTTGTAAATTTTTGGCCCCATAGAGGAGATAAATTGAAGATTTTAACCCTTAAGCGCGCACGCTTGTTTTTTTTACGCTGGAGCACTCGCGGGGTCTAGTGGACCCCCAAATAAAAATGGCTATAAAAAGGATTTTTTAATAATTAGCTCTTTAACCCTTTGAGGTTGAATTTTTTCCACATTTTCCGGCGAATTTAGCTTGCCGTTCATGCAGTCAGGAAAATGGTGCCCAGCAACCTATACTCGCCATTCGACCAAAAAAATTAACATTTTTGATTTTTTAATAATGTTTTTTTTTTTTTGGTCCTTGTAGGTCGCCATTTTTGAGCAGCCGGCAAAATGGCGGGCGGCGACCTATACTCGCCATTCGGCCGCAAAGGGTTAAACTTTATACGTAATATCTATATTCATTTTCTCAAATTGTTATGTAAATTGTTATGTAAATTTTATGATAATACCATATCCTTTAATTGATTTGAAACTAATAGTTCGAACCCTTAATTTTTTTATCATGAAATGTAATAATGGTATTAAAGAGGGGAAAATTGTAGTTAAAAAAAGTGTAATCTATCTATATATTAATAGGCAAGCATGTTTCTTTAAAACCTTTTTTCTTAGCTCGTGTGCATCACAGATAATTTCCTGTAGAAGTGCAGAATCCCTTTAAAAATTCAAATAGGCTCAAATATAAGCACAAAAAATGATTGTAGTTGTTAGCCTCCGGATTGCCAAATAATATTAGAAAAGGTTTAAATACCTGCTATCAAGCAATCCAATTTTGTTGTTAGCACAACTAGTTTCGGTGTCTGTGTGACACGATCATCAGGCTGCACAAGGACAGTTTTCTTTCTTCATACGAAGAGCGTCATATAATTTACACGAAAATAATAAATAAACATATACGAGACATTTATGGTAACTGATCAGTTAAGAAAACAGACGACGCTAACCCGGCGGAGTTTGAGTCCAGACTGCGGGTGGTCAGTGCAATGGTGTACGTCTGTTATCTTATCATTCCAGGTTGCTTCCTATCAATCACACCTCCCCTCTCCAGTAAACCGATGGCAGTGTCATTCATAAAATTAGACAAGAAAAATTGTTGGTCTTTTAGTACATTATGGTGGTCGGATTTATACTAAATTATAATATTTAGTTAGTTTGAAAGGGAACTTTATTGATGCCAACTAACAAATGAGTTTTATAAGCATATGAATTTTTTCCCTCGAAACAAGTTGCCTGTTGGTTTAAAAAATTTCTTTGTTGAAATTCCCTAAAACCGTGAGTATATGTGAGAACATTTCATACATTTTTTCTGTTAACACCATTCTGTTTTTGATTAACGGTGTCATTTTGTTTCAGTGGGATCCAGATTCCATATACAAAAATAATCCAGCAATTTTAAATGGTGGCTTTGAACAATTTTTGGACACTTATCCTACTTTCACAACAAATCCTAAAGTAAAATGTCCTCTGGAACACACAAGCAGTTCTTTTATACACTTGAGTAAGTATTTAATACAAAGACAATATAAATAGCTTAAAGAAATAATATACAGTAGGACCTCAATATCTCGAATCTGAAGGGGATATGATAAAAATTCAAGTTATCAAGTTTTTCAAGTTAGTGAGGTTCGAGTTATGAAGGTGCCATATGAAAAAGTTCGAGATACTGAGGTGTTCGGGTCTGATAGTGATGTAACGTTGCGGCCTTTATAACTCGACTTTTACATTCTAAACCTTTATAAATCGAACTCAAACTGTATTTATACGTACTGAAGAGTAACTGTGGAAGCAAAATAAAACAATTTTAATGCACATAAAGTACTTTATTTATTATTGGGCAATATGTTTGATAAAGTACATACGTAAAAAACCTGTTGAATAACAAAGAAAATTTGTTTTAAATACTGAACAAAACACAAAACAATATGAATTCTAAACAAAATACAAGTTTAACTTTTCAAAATGTAGTTAAGTAGGCCTACTGAATCTACTTTGGCAAAACAGGATGAAAGAAATCTTCAATTCAATACAAAACAATACAAATTCTAAACAAAATGCAAGTTTAACTTTTCAAAATGTAGTTAAGTAGGCCTACTGAATCTACTTTGGCAAAACGGGTTGAAAGAAATCTTCAATTCTTGCTTGTTTACCTTTTATGTTTACGGCATCCAATGCTATGTCCAAGTTATTGATGCAATTCACAACACTATCACTCATCACTGACTTTTTCCCAAAAAAAACACCGAATCACATGAATTGCAGCACGAGCATCTTTAAGAGTTGGGTCTGGCTGTGTTGATTCGCCCTCATCCTCCTCTCCCTCGTCTGAAGAAACTGCATTCGAACTCGAACCTCCAGCAACCGATGTAATGATGTCTGCGTCAGTCAGCTCCCCGCATACAGCAACGTCGTCATCAAAGTCTACGAAGTCCACGAACGCCAACTCTTCAACATTCAGAGCCTGTGCTGCTACAGTCCATTCAGCCGGTGTCTCATTTATGTCCGCGATAGAAGGTTCATCCTGTACTTCATCCAGTTCATTTCCTGTGGTGTGTTGGGGTACCTCAAAACCACATGCATTAAAGCAGTTTTTGATTGTCACCGAAGTCACACAGTTCCAGGCTTTTGACACCATCCATAGTGCATCGAGTAGATTAATCTGCGTCATTGACTCGTTATCCATATCCCTCAAAAATCGTTTGACAACCTCTCTTCTGTAGTTCACTTTAAAGTTTTTAATGATCCCTTGATCAAGTGGTTGTAGCTTGGAGGTTGTGTTTGGTGGTAGGAATTGTACAGTACTTTGACGTTCTTCAGAGGAGGTATGTCCTTGTGTGCTGAGCAGTTGTCAATAAAGAGAAGTATTTTTCTATTCTTCTTCTTCATGGCCTTGTCGATATTTTTCAGCCAAGAACTGAAAAACCCAGAAACCATCCAAGCTTTATGATTTGCTTCATACTCTGTCGCCAAACTTTTCACATTCTTAAAACAGCGTGGATTTTTTGCCTTTCCTATGACAAGGGGCTTGAGTTTGTCTGTTCCGTCGGAGTTAGCACAAAGCAACACAGTTATTCTAACTTTGCTCATTTTCCCACCACTACATGAATCACCTTTAAAAGACAGGGTTCTGTCTGGTAGACACTTAAAAAAAAGGCCAGTTTCGTCGGCATTGTAAATGTTTTCTGGCAAATATGACTCAGTCAGTTTTTTTAGTTCTGTTTTCCATTCGTCACACACATTGGAGTTCACAGAAGCACTTTCTCCACAAACCTTTCTGAAAATAATTTTGTTTCTTTTTTTGAAGTTGTGCAACCATCCGTTGCTGGCGCGGAAGTCTTTCTTTCCTAAGCTCTCTGCATATTGAATGGCCTTCTCTTGCAAAATCGGTCCTGATACAGGGATGTTCTTATCTCGGCACTGTTTCAACCATGTTAAAACACATTCGTCCACGTCTTTAAACTCACCGCTTTTACATCTCTTCTTATTGGTTAGTCCACCTTCAGCCTCATACTTTTCCCGGTTTTTCATAATTGTTGATAAAGTGTTAGGCGGAATTCCGAACTCCTTAGCGATTTCACTTTTTTTCTTTAATCCCTCGTCAACTGACTTAATAACTCTTCTTTTTTCATCGTGTGTCAACGTTTTGCACTTACGCTTAACCGACGACATGACGTCCGACGCACACAAAACTATCTCAACAACTGGCAGACTACAGTACGTATCCAAACAGACACAGGAAGCAACCACCGGAAGTTGGATTTTCACGTCTCGACAGGAATCAAAACACTACTGACTTGCACTGTAAGGCAAAACTTCGAATTATTGAGGCTCACTCGTGCGAACTTCGACTTATAAAGGTAAACTTCGAGTTATTGAGGCTCGACGACGGGAAAATTCGACTTATAGAGGTGGAATATTACCATTCAAAAGTTGTTAAAAATCGACTTATTGAGGTTAAATATTTAGAAACTTCGACTTATAAAGGTACTTTTAACATTATGATTAATGTGGATTTCAAGGGGATTTAAAAAAAATCGAGATATTGAGGAATTCGAGATATTAAGGTTCGAGTAATTGAGGTTCTACTGAAATAGCTTAAAGAAATAATATAATAGCTTAAAGAAAAGGTACAAATTAGACATATTATAATATTCACTATTTCTCTGTAAACTTCAAATGAATAATAATGACACAGCCAATAAATTGCAGAATGTTAGACTGATTAGAAGTGGATGTGAACTGATGATATTAAATAATAAAAATAGTGGCCTAATTTCATCAGTACCAGGGATGATAGTTGTTATAGCTAGAGGTGAAATGCTCATTGGTCAAAGGATCTGAGGGTAATCCTCAATTCCAATTCAATCCTTGTTTCTAGGTGAATAAGTTGAATAGTTATAAAAATTGAATACTTAGCTTGCAGACAGTGAACATCTTTTGATAAAATAAGTGTCTTTAGTCTTAGTCCTTGTAAATAACAACTGAAGATGGCTCTGATTTAAGGATAGGATGAACTCTCTCTCTTCTTTTACACTTGACAACGTCTCTCAGGGGACAAAATGTTATGTTTTATGTGCTTTTGATGTGTTCAATAGCCTATGTATACTCCGTCTAAGGAAAGTTAGCTGCTATCCTCTTTATTTTACTATTAATAATCCTGAAATGGTTGAGGGTAAAATTATGGGTTTGATGGGAGACAAACGGGGAAAATGGGCTTTTTAACAGATAATATGATGAGTTATAACAAATTGTAGATATTTGATAGAGGATAGCTATGTCCCTGTCTAACCTAAGCATGATGAATCTGCTACCAAATATTTATTCTAAAACATGGGAAGAGCTGCTGGGGACCAAAGGGACGAAGATCTTTTACCCAGACCAGAAAGCTTTCCTAGCCAGCTTTAATTTACACTAATTAAACAAATTTACTTTAAAATATCCTTCCAAACGCTAGAGTGGTGAAAATGGTAAATTGGTTGGTACAAATAGAGTAAGACAATATGGATTGGAATAGAGTTTTCTGAATCTGAAATATCTAATAACTTAACTGAAAAACTGTGGAAATGATTCTGGTGAAATGTACTAGATTTTCATGTTGGAAACGGTTACAAAGTGCCTTCAGCACTGGACCCATTAAATAGTTGATTCCTACATCTCAAATGTCAGGGCCAACCTTGTGGGTTCCCCTTTGGTTTGCTAACTTAGCCGGACATAATTTTATGCCTATTAATATCTAGCTTAAATACAAAACTTATCCATTTGATTGATGATTTGGAGATCCCAAAATTTGATGTTACTTGGTTTACTGCCGGCGACGAAGAAGAACGAGAATTGGAAAAAAATGGGGTGAGAGCGTTCTTTCAGCCGCGGTGGGCGACGAGTTGTACAGGCTTCGCTGATAAAATAGCCTGCCACTGCATCACAACCACCCCCCTTACGACGAAATAAAAGAAAAGAACAGTTTTGTTGCAGGTTGGTGAAGGCTGTGTAATTTTTTTTTTTTGGTTGGTGGGACAATTTTTGTTTTAATTTGCCTCGTATCTATCGTGTTCTGGGTCCCTAGATATTTTGTTCCCGGTTTTGGATCCAGGGGAGACCAAGAACAGATGTGGAAGACTGAAAGCTCTGACCAGTCCGGCTTCGAATTGGCACCTCGGTCACCCCGGTTTGGTTTTGGCTCCATTGTAAGTCTTGATTGACAGTTCATTGGACTGCCCCCCCCTGCGAAAAGAGGAAGGTATTGTGAGGACAACAGCTGTTCTTCCCTAACCTAATACAATTTGAATTGATGTGAGTTTAGTTGAAAATACAAAAAGGACAGAAAACTGCACGCACAAATTGGTTTTTTTTTTTTGCGACCTGCTGACACTATATAAAATAGCGTGACACATAACAGTTTAACTCACTGTTTAAAATTTATTAATCTTACATTTCAAAAGACTGTAAATCAATTTTAGGTGAGCATAACATCGAGTACCCAATGAGTATTTTGGAAGAGGAGAAGTCTGTCCTGAAGACTACACCTGCCACAGATAACTCAGACTTGACCTTGCATCTCAACAGACCAACCATTGACAGATCTAATAAAGTGAGTGTCTAGGCTGCAGATAAACTGTTTGCTTTCATTGTTAGTAGATTAATAACAAACTAGTGGTCGTCCTGTGGTCGAAACTCGACCAAAAATAATTAATGTACAGACTTCTCTATTTTCTCCCCACACTGTAAATAAAACATTTGATTGGGATTTCTTCCATTTGTTTTGATTTTCTGTTTACATTTTGCTGTTATTTCGTCACCATCATGGCAACCCAGTTGGTCCATGTTAATTTTTTGAAGTTTTCAAATTCGTTTTTTGTGCTTATTCTTTAGCCTATTTTAATTTATAAAGGGATTCTGCACATCTACAGGCAAATATCTTTCTAACAGTATGCGTAGATTTCCCCTGCGACGCACACGAGCTGAGAAAAAAGGTTTTAAAGAAACATGCTTGCCTATTAATATATAGATATAAATAATTGTGTTGTTATTTTTAGCACTGTTCATTTTTGACTGGTTTGTTTTGGCCAATTCAACAATAATAGAAATTTTGCAAAGATTAATTCATAGTTTTTGATAGTGCTTAAAACTGGAGATTCTGATTGATATGAAGCCTAAGTATTTTAACAAACCAATAATTCAACATTTCTTAATGTAGCTTTTTGTTTGATTCAGAGATCCATAATATAATATGTAACTTGAAAGAAAACAAAATAATATTGCATAACCTTTCTGTTCTTCTTAATCAATGTAATTTTTTCATTTTATGTTTAGCCGACCAAACTAGCTGATCAAATGGACAAACCTCTCAACAACCCAGATGACGTAAGGACTAGTGAGAAAAATGTGTCAGTCATTGAAAAGGACATTCAGTCTATTGCCAACAAAATGGAAGAAAAGGTAAGATTTTTTTATCACAGCTAGTGCTAGTCGTCACTGGAAAATCTTTGACAGATTTTACTGTAATTTTATAATTTGTTTGTGCTTGTATGTGTGTGATTGTCTTAATAATCCGGAAACTACATTGATTTACTTTATTTTTATTGTTAAAGGTCACTGAAAATGATCTGTTTTTATTCTGTGTCTTGAACATGCAAATAATTTCTTGAGGTAAGCAATGTAACTAGTAACATTTTAACATTTTATTAGGAAAATAATATTTTTTATCAATAAAAGAGTGCCTATACCAATAAAATGTAAGTATTTCTCAAATAAGTATGTAGCCTAATAACTATTTTAACTGTCTTGATTGTATATACATCACATATAACTATTGCTACATGGTACGTTATTTATTGTTTACAGGCAGTTGCTCCTGGTAAACCCCAGACTATAGAGCCTGATTCAGAACCTTCCTTGCCTAAAGAGAGGTAACGTACTGAAACAGTGTTGACTTCAAATTGATGTTTGTTATTAAATAAGTTATTAAAGAACTAAAAGATTAATCATTGGTAGTTTTAGAACTTAAAAAAATATTAGAGTAGATCCCCTTTGCTTTAACTTAAGCATTGTAAAACGGAAAAGAAATCTAGATCATGACACAGATTCTACTTAGCTAAGATGAAATTACTAGTTGTAACATAGACATATTTTTTCCAGTCAACATATTTACAAAGTGTTGAATGAGTCAACATTTTTCTTGCAGAGCAATATTGAAAAAAGTATGTTAGAGAGTGTACATTGAAGATAATTAAATAACCACACTAGGTAGCCTAACATTTTACAACAACACATTTTAACATTTTATTCTACTGGAACATTTTAAGTCAATAGGCCTAAAGAAACCAATATCACAGTTTTATCACAATTTAGAAAGTGTTAAAATCATAAATTTGGATAGTTAGCAAAATCAACAATTTGAATGTTAAAACAAATTTTAATAGCTATGAGGCCTTGTAGAAACTTTTTTCTCTGATCTAGTGATAACAAAATCACTATCAACTGTATGTCATAGCATCATTAAATGCCTTATAACAAAATTAAGTCTGAAATCTATCTTTCTTGGGATCAAACAAGCAACCTTAGGCTCGTCACACACTGCGTCCGGTCCGGTTAATTCTGATCCGGTGTTTATCGCCGGATACGGCAAATTTCCACACACTGCATCAGGAGTTCCAGTTCCGGCGACCAGTCTATGCGAGGACAGCGGTACTGTGAGTTGAAGAAGTGTTTAACCAACAACAAATTAGTTGGTTTTAACAAACTTTCCCTAAAGAAATGAGTTACAGTGACAGTGAAGAAGAAATCTTCGTAGTTGCAGCAGCTCTTGCTTCTGAAGAGGAAGAGTGTCGACGACAGAGAAGAGGTCGTGGGTGCACAGTATAAACGCGAGTAGAATAAATGCGAGTAGGACAGGGTACTCTTGTACTAGCACAATCAGTTTCTCTTCTAATGACATTTTGTAACAAAACGTAACAGCGTAAACAATCAACACAAAACAACGTCTGCTGCTACTGTCAGTGCCTACTGTCACTTTCACGTGGTGAGTAGCTGTCGTCTGCGCATGCACGAGCTCGCCGGTGCCGGAAGCCTATTGCTTCTCATCCAAAATAATTTTACCGGACCACACCTTACTGGATGCAGTGTGGGAACTTCCATTTGAAATAATGGTGTCCGAATTTACCTAATCCGGCATGCCTGATCCGATTTTACCGGACCGGACGCAGTGTGTGACAAGCCTTAATCTTTAAAGGTGAGCACTATATCAATTTGTTTACCTGGCTATGAAACACCTTAGGTATCTAAGCTTTAGTTTAACATGTTTGCTGTAGTTGGGTGTTGGCCAGCCGCGGCTGTGTGCAAGAACAGACTAAATTGGAATTATGAGCTGTCTTGCGTGGATGAGTGCGGAAAAATTTTGAAATTTAGTTTCATCCCAGTCATTGTAGATGAAGTTTTACAACAGAAACCTACTTACTGCTGTGGCCACTGGTACCCTAAATGGTACTTGGCCTCCCCAAAACAACGCCTCCATACATCTCTGCATCTAGCGTCCTCCTTCAAACTAAAGATAGTAGCACTAAACAAAAGTGCCAACAGGCCCTCATTACTGCCAAATGATAGGGAAAAAGCAAGGGGGAAGTATCCAGATACCCCATTAAAAATACCCCATAAAAGGCCTCAAGCACAATTTTGAGGTTAGGGTCCTTCCACAATGCTACACTACACTGCACACATCATTATCACGTCATCATCATTAGCATCTCCCTTGCTATTAAAATATTACTGATAACACCACTCCACTCTATTAAAAAAACACTCATACAGTAAGATACAGAAATGACCCGAAAAAGAATTGCATGAAAATGACATACAAACCGACAAAACACTAACCTACACCTATACTTACACTTACCTAACACTAATCGTTCCCCACCGAATGCTGGGCTCACACAGAGGCTGTGTTAGTGAGAGTAACCATAGTCAATGGAGTAACACAGCACAGTGCTACATTTATAGTAGGCCAAGTGGTGTGCTAGTACTCAGTTACTACCATTATAGTAGTCCCCAGTAAACGTGTCAAACTGACTGTACTTATAGTTTTAAAAATCCTACCTTTTATATTGCGGTGAATAACTAAAAAATATTATTTCTTTTTCAGCATGCCAGGCAAATCTGTTAGCCAGATTCCCAACAATGTTCCTCCACAACCAGTAACTCCTCCTAGATCTGAAAGAAATAAATCTGTAACTAACAAAGGTAGGTAGTCTATTTTACACAAAATCCAAACCTCAAACTCACAATTGAACTTGGAAGACTCTAAAATATTTTTGAAGGCTCAAATTAACCTTTTAAGTTATAAAAATTATTCACCCACAATAATAGCCTAAAGGGTTGATTTTGACTAACTATCAATTGAATACAAACCTTAAAAAGTGTCATTGTTGCAAACGGTGAGCCTATTTCAAATAAAATTAGTCATTAAAGATTTGGGGCATCTTTGGTAGCTCCGGACAAGACAGGACCCCAGTTTTTCAACACCTACTGTATGCAGAAAAAAAGAAAAACAACTAATAAATGTAATGTCAACAAAAAGTCAACTTAGGTAGGAGCTTGCCATTTCTCCTCTTCCACTGTAGGTTAGGTCTTACCTTCACACTTCCGTGGACCAATTACTAGTTAGTAAAAAAAAAATGTTATATTTTGTTCGTTTATTTATTTTGTAGCCTCCAGAATTGGCAAATGAAGTAATCAAGGTTACAAGGACCTTCAGTCCAAGCGATTTATTTGTAGTACAATGACCATGAGTATTATCCCATCATCAGGTGTTCAAAACAAACATCTTCACAGATTCACCACTTGGGGGTACACAACACAACATATAGGCTACTTAAAAAACATATATATTGAACATTAATTCAAAGTGATAAAAACTTTAAAAAATAAGGTTATGCAGTCAATAACTGGACTGCAACTGAGATGAAATTTACTGTATACTCGTACTAGTTTTAATAACTGCTTTAAAAATGTATTTCCTCAGGAAATGGTGATGCCAACACTTACCTGGAGAAGACCAAGTTTGAAACACCTCCCAGGGGAGGAGGACTCAAGCGATCAGCTTCATCTCCCAGCATCAACAAGGTGATATACCTGTCACTTAAAACTAATTTGGAAAATGTTCAGAGACGTTATGTATACGGTGCACATTTTTTGCAGAACTTTACAGTCTAAGATATATAAATGTAATTTCTCATGATCCAAAACACGAATTGTGTAAGGGCAAAGTATGAAAACCACAGTTGACAGTGTTTCATTTATTTGTGTAGACTAATCAATGGTTTGATATAGCAAATACACATGTTATGTTAAATGTAATGCCATTGAGGCTGAGGCATAAAAAATCACAATCTAAATGATACGGACATTGCATATATTTGAGTTAAAGTCCTTTTAATTTATGCTTATATTGAAATATTTTAACTATGATATATATCATGAGAGTTGTGTTTGGAAATTTATCGGTGTACTTAAATGTAGCTTTATTAGAAACACTTTGTTATAAACAATTTAAGCATCTTGATTCCAAACATAATAGTCTTTTATTTCAAAGTTTTACATAGAAAAAAATATATGGCTGGTGTTAACACTATAAGTCTTGGTGTAACATGCTTTAGCTGAGTGATGAGAAGCTGGACAAATCGTTCGGAACTCCCTCGTTTGACAGGAGCACCAAGCCCAAACAGATGTCTCCGTATGACTACCCGTCTAGGTCAGCTGGCTCGGACACTGTCTACTTGACTGACCCTAACATGAAGGTACAGTCACAATCTCACACCATTTATCAAATCTTACACTCCTTAGGTTCATAGAAAATACTTAAATGCAAAACTGCATCTTAAATAGCCTAGTGGTGGAAATTAAAACAAGACTAGTTTGACAGCCATAATGCAGCAAATGCATTTGCAGTTAGGTTAGGTATAACCTAACGTAACCTAACTAAACTATTTGTAATAACTTGCTAGCAAAATAAGAGACATGAGAGTTAGTTGTGTTATTGACTGTATGTAGGTACAGCCTTCAACTCTGGCTACACAATGCCCACATTTTTATACCTTCCATTACGGATAACAAAACTTGAAAAGTGGCGAAGATCTAATTCTCATTTTAAACCTTCCGCTACTAGTAAAAAAGCAACTTATATGCTGAAGGTCTGTAGCAACTCTCATTTTATAAATAGAACCAGGGGACTGAGGCATGGCTTGGTATAGTTTATTTTGATTGTAAATGCAATTAAAAGGAAACTCTGTTTTTTGCAACTAATTTTGGATTTTATTATTTAAGTTCCAGTGGAATTTCAATTTATTATGAGTACAGCTGTCCTAATTTTGCAAAATACAGGGTGGGGCAATGAAAGCGCCCCAATTTATAAACAGTACAAACTCAATAATATTCACCCTATGGATATAAATAGCACACCAAAACACAGCCTATCTTTTGCCATTTTAACTTAACAAAGTCATTTTTCCATTTCTTGAGAACAAAACCCTACAAGTGACTTCATTGTCCCACTTGACATTCCTTTTTAGCCACTTGAAACTCCATCAAATACTCCTCCAGCACTTCTTCAGGAATCACTTTAGTTTTTGGACTATCCTTAGCTTCGGTTCAAGCAAATCTGTGGGGTGACTTTGAAAAACCTAGAACGTCTAGTAGCTTATTAGAACAACCCCCCCCCCCCTCCCAAAAAAATTAGCCAAGTAAAGCTTTCAACAACATTAAGCTTCCTGGCAAATCTCTTCGGAGTTACTGGGACTCATATTGTTTTAACATTTGCTGGTGTACAAAGAGTTTTGCGGCACCCGCTGATTATTATTTTTTTTTTGTTTAAGCGATTATCCTAAATAATTTTACCCAGTTGAACATTGTTTTCCAATCTGGAACAGCGCCATGTTGACCAAGGATGGAATACGGTCTAAACAATCTCTGGGTTTTTGCACAAGAACCACTATTTTATAAATAGGTTTCCACATCAAAATCTCAGTGTTAATAGCCTCAGGCATAATATTTACTAAAATGGCATAGTTTAATTGATGTTTTAAGCACAGCTGATCATTCATTGTTGCAACAATTAACATGTGACAGGTAAAACAAATTGTAGCGTTCTCATTGCCTCACCCTGTATAAAAAAGAGTGCATAAACATTTTAAAATCTACACTTAATAAGAGTGAAACATTGAGTTAATGCCAGTGCACTCAAACGGCACAATCTCGAAACACTTATCACTCATCAACACTGAATTGCTCTATTGCTCAATAGTTACAACTGATGTTTATCACTTTGTATTGTATTTTATAATATGATAGTTTACTCTGGATGGCTTGTTGTAACCAAATGTTACAAGTACTTTGTTTACTTTTTCCTTGTTATTTCATTCAACCAACATAATTCTGTTTCTGAATGACATGCTTTTAGGCGAGGTATTATTTATTTACGAAGATTATTGTGGGCTTCACTCACCTTTATTTTCGTCTGTGATGTCCAGGACTCGTCAAAACACATATAAACACATACACACAACACCAAATCGTCCATGGCATCAAAAATCCGACGTTTTGCGGAACTCAAAAGAAGTTCCGCTTCCTCAATGTTGGAAAATACTATTTTAATAGTAGTACAGTCGGGTCGACTGCTGTGTCAGCTAAACTTGGAGTAAGGTGGGCGGGGGTAGGTATATTTTCCATTGTTAATAAGCCATTCACGCTGTTGGCCTTATCTTGTAGTTGCTCTAGTTAATCTTTAAAACCGTTTAAATACACCGTACGGACATCCACCGATGGTTGTGAGAGTGGCTTGTCTTCTATCGCCATGAAAAGCGACTCTGCCGTATTTCGATTCCTCCAATCAGACTCCTTGTAAAGAATTATAATGGACCCCAATCAACATCAACACCAACATCAACATCAACATCAACATAGTTCCTTAGCAACAATAAGGCCAATGCTTAATTCAGGGTGTCCACTGACCGGGAAAACCGGGAATATGCGTGGGTTTCGTATTTTACCTGGAATTTTCAATTTGCCGCGATTGCGCATTAAGATGACGTTTCCGTGACCGCGGGAGTTGACGATGACACTTCCGTGACCGCTGGAGTCAACGATGAGGTTTCTGTGACCGCGGGAGATGATGATGACGTTTCCGTGAGTGTGGGAAACGACAATGACGATTCCGTGGCCGCGGGAGACGGCAATGACGTTTCCGTAACTGCGGGAGATGACGATGACGTTTCCTTGAATGAGGGAAACGACAATGACGATTCCGTAGCCGCGGGAGACGACGATGACGTTTCCGTGACCGTGGGAGACAATGATGATGTCCAAACTCCAAATGGCCGCGGGATTTTTTAATGGTGTCTCTACAACAGTGGTAGATTATCACGATATAACCGAGTTTGGCTTGACCGAAAAATTTTAAAATGGCACACTTCTAGAAAGTTTGTTTTAAATATTTATTGTAATATCTTCATTACCTTTAACGTGGTATTTATATAATGTGTTTAGAAGGGTTTAAAACTTAAATTGGCTATGTGAAATTTTTGTAATTTCTGCATTAATTATTCTATAGGCCACTTGAAAAACAACCCATAGCTCCAAAATTACCCAAAAATACCCACTATATGAAAGTACATAAAGCCAGGGGTTGGTATAGTAATCCTTACAGAAAATTTGGTAAAATTAAAATTATCAGTATTAAGAATCTATTTTTCAGGTGTCGGTACGGAAATTCGATAAATTTTGATATCGACATATCACTATTTTTAAAAAGTTATTGATAAATTGCAGGTTTGCGGGCTGGTTTTTAATTTTCTGATTATTTAATCAGTAATATACAAAAATTGCATACTTGTGTCAATATTACAGTAATCATGAATTTTGTTTCTTTAACTCAGAATCCTTTTTTCGATAATTAAAATAGTGAACTGTGTTAGCGCTAAAACAGCATTACGGTAGTTGGCGCAAAAACGCTTTAGAAAGTTTAGTATTAAAAGTGCGACCTGGAATTACTCATGATTTTTTTCTGGTTGGTCTGGTGGACACCCTGTAATTTTTTTTAAATTTTCAAATGAGTTGTGTAGCGAAATAGAAATTTTCCTTAGGTAGTGGCTGTCACCAAACACACTTAGCTTGTATTATAGTATAGGACTTACTTACAAAATATAGGTTGTGTGCCCAAGGTATAAATCCCGCAAGTTCTAAAACAGTAACAGTGGATAAGTTTTCTTCATTGACTCTCCCAGATTTAGACCTTCCACCAATGTTCATTTAGACCCTCAGCAACAAGTCCATAATGCAAATTGTATGCCAAAGTTAGACTTTGTGGGATTTAGACCTTCAGCAACACTCCCCAACAACGACAGCAAACTCTGAGGAACTCTATTGGAGCAATAAGATAAGAAAGACTCCTATGAGTTGTGGAGAAACTTGATATACAAGTGTTTTTTAAGTTTTTTTAACAGAAGCACAGAGAGCCACTGTTTAAAGACAAAAGATGGTCGTAGGTTGGTTGCCCTCCTCTACTTTATTACCGATCAGCTGATATATTAGTATACTGATGTATCTTCGACATATTTATTCATTAGTCTCTTTATCATACATGAGTGGATTAACCACGCTATAGATTAAACAGGATAAAAAAATCTAATTAAAAAATAGATTATCCAAGTTAAATGTACATTAATCAGCGATCACCTAAATGTTTAGCGTGAGGAGGCATCATATCGCTGGTAGACTATAGAGTTGCTGTTGTTTACGCCATTAACTACCGATAAGTCACTAATATTTATATTTCGTCTGTGTTTTAATGTTAGTAATTGCTAGGCCTGTATAAAACTTACAATTTGTAACATGAACCAAGGTCAGTGACTAGAAATGTCATGATTGTGCATTATTAACGATTAATGTAAATTGGGACATTAATGGACATTTTTACTTGCACACTATTACAATGTTTCATGGGTTTTTCATCTTTTCTATACCATGTTTTTTTTTACTGTGGTTTTAATATCTGTAGTCTCCCTCCCCCTTTATTACCCCGGATAATCAAGGTTCTACAGTACTTTACAATCTTAACACTGTACTGTAAAGTATTTTAGCCTATGCTACTAATTGTGTTTTAATGAGGTCAAATCTCAACATATTTTACATATTTTACAACATATCTGTAAGAACTTTCTTTTACCAGACATCAACCTTAAGACAAACAACTAAAATACATCAACCATTAAACCCAAAAAGCTAAAAAATTTTTAATTGCATAATCATTTTACTGTCAAGTATGAGCTGGTATTTTTTCTGTTAAATTGGACTCTTCATCTAAAAAATATCACTAACACTCTTTGAGTAAGATATCAGACATTAGTTTTTTATTTTTATTTATAAACAATTGGGCTACAGGTATATAACCCAAAACAGCTATGATTAAAAATAATACAATATTAATACATAAATTAAAGAACGAAAAAATATATAATGTGCACATAAATAAACAACATACAACCAGTGATGTATGATAGTGAATACAAGTTAATAAAAATGGACAACGTTTTTGAAAGTTTTACTTATTTTGGCTGCAAATCTAAAGGGATAGATTACAATACAAAAGCATTTATCTTAAATTTAAACTGCTTAATAGTGTCAGAAAAAACATCAATTTATTATTGTGGACATTTAATAAATCCCTGTAAAAAGTGAAAAACTGTAAAATTGAACAGTGTTACGACAAGGGATAAAAAGATAAAATTTACGTTCTTGAATTATT